TTCTGTCTCCTCCCCGTCGGACGGTTGTCTTCCTAAAATGGCATTCACAGGTCCTATGAAAGCCGTTTATGGCCTGTCGGGTCCAGTGATTGTTTTAGGAACCTCTGGACCTCGTTCCGTCAATTCGCACGATACCTTCTGACGTGCCTTGGCGAGGGATGTGCCACAAGCAGTTGTCTGTTCGGTTGCCCATCACTGTGGCAGCCCACTAGGAACTGCTTGCACAACATGGTGTTGTGCTCCCTGACGGGGACATTTGGTCCTTTTTATCCAGGTGGTGTTTTGGTAACATCAGAAGGCATCCTGTAGCTATGTTTTGGCAGGTCTGAGCCTCTGTGCCCGCTGTGCGTTGAGAAAGAGAGAAGAATGTCGTAGGTAACTCAGACTATTTTCAGGTTGTCCCCTGTTGAAATTGGGTCGCGGTTGACATGAATACCCAGCTGCAGCCCAGGAGGTAAAAATGGGTGCTGAGAATTTCGTAGGGAAGAGGGTTAATCTCCTTGCCGTGAAGAAATGAGAAGGTACGGAGAGGTAACCGTTTGCGTTCAGGTTATCAATTCCATTGCCGGATGCCATTATAGAGCAGTGCGTCAGCGTACGAGATGATGGAGATTCTATCGTTCACACGACAGTCGGGTCTACGTTATCGGAACGACCCACACTAATCAGGGCTATCACTGAATATCTGACCAACAAAGAATTTGCTGTTACAACATCATGGATACTCCATATGGTTGTTGAGGGAGCTTCGAAATATAGAAATTAACCAGATGCGGGGAGAGGAGATCACGTTTAATTAACTTCTGGCACACCGTAATCCGTAATTTCGCATAATTTTACAGATTTTGACATTTCTCTCTCGGAAGATTACTGACGACTGTCGACCACTCATATAATTCGCCGACCATCGCTTCAGTCCCTGTGGGAGTGAGGAGGCCTCAATGTCTTCTAGTAGTGTGGAATGGCAGACGGTGTCAAACGCCTTTGACAAGTCCAGCGCTACTAGAACCGTTCTCTCATAGGGGCGGTTTCGATTTAGGCCACGAGTTATTTGTGTGTTTATGGCGTTAAGTGCTGTTGTTGTGCTGTGCACTTTACGGAATTCGTGCTGGTGCTTAGCTGGGGTCAGGTGGCAAGTGAAGTATGGGAGGAGGGCCTTAAGCGTCTTCGCGACCGGGGAAAGGAGCGTTATCGGGCGATAAGAGTCGCCTTTGTTGGCGGGCTTCCCCGGTTTCAGCAATGGGACTACTCTCCCTGATTTCCATACATCAGGAATGATGAGAGTGGCTATGGACAGGTTGAGGACATCCGTTAGGTAAGCTACTCCCTTAGGCCCTAAATGTTTTAGCATCAG